AGAGCCCCCAGGGCCTAGAGAGGTCCGACCTTCACGTCCTCCTCGTCTTCATTTAAGGGGTCCCCAACACCCATGCAGGGGTTCCCAACACCCATGCAGTGGTCCCCAAGATCCTCAAAGGGGTCCCCAAGATCCTGCTGGGGGTCCCCAAGGTCTTAGAGAGGCCCCTTGACCTCCATGTCCACATCATCTTCACCTAAGGGGTCCCCAAAGGGATCTGCCACATTGCCAAGGTCTCCCTGGGTGTCCCCAAGGTCCTCGTAAGGGACCCCAAAGTCATCCTCTAGGTCCCTGAGGTCCTCCTGGACATCCCTGAGGCTCCCATCAGCATCTCCTGGGGGTCGCAGCAGAGGGTCGCCCCCACCCCATGGCTCCCCCATATCAAGGTGGGGCTGGGCCCCCCGGGGTGCCACAACAGCCATCAAGGCCCGGGCCAGGCGAGGGGGGCATCGGGCCAGCCGGGCCACCCGAACCAAGCGGGGGGCCACATTGTGGGGCAGCCCCCCCAAAATGGCCTGGGCGGCCCGGGCAGCCAATGGGGCGCAACCCCACCGCTCGGCCAAGGCCCAGAGGGCACCAGGGGATGCGGTGATGGCAGTGGCCACGACACCCTCAAAGCCCTCTACCAGGTAACGGCGGGCCAAGGCAATGGCAGCACCGGCGGCAGCAGGGGACACGGGGGGGGACAGGAGGGGACACCCATCCCTGGGGTGGCCCCGGCAGCCATGGACAAAATGGAGGAGGAGGAGGAGAGGGTGGCGGGGGGCACAGCCCAAGGCCACAGCTGCCTGGCGGGCCTCGGCGAAGGCCCCCCCCAACATGGCTCCCAAGACAGGGGACCCCTGGGTCAGGGCCGCCCGGGCCACTGGCACCCCAGGGTGGGTGCCATTGGGGAGGAGGAGGAGGTCGTGGGGGGTCTGGGCATAGGGACACGTTGGGGACACAGGGGGATGCGTGACTGGGGGGGCTGGGGATGCCTGGGGGGCTGGAGATGGTGGTGTAGATGGGTTGGAGGAGCTTGGGGATGCTTGGGGACACGAGTTGGAAGACCTTGGGGATGTCCGGGGGCATGGGGATGGTGGCGGAGATGGGTTGGAGGAGCTTGGGGACGCTTGGGGACAGGGGTTGGAAGAGCTTGGGGAGGCTTGGGGACAGAGGGATGGTTGGGGAGATGGGTTGGACACTGGGGACACCTGGGGACATGGGGGTGGTTGGGGACAGGGGTTGGAGGACCTCAGAGACACCTGGGGACATGAGTTGGGGAGGTTTGAAGACAGTGGAGGAGAAGAGGATAGTAGGGGACATTTGGGGGGTCTTGGGGCCACTTGGGAATGGAGGTTGGGAGGGTTTGGGGACAGCTGGGGACAAGAGGACGCTTGTGGACGTTTAGCAGCCCTCGGGGACACTTGGGGACAGGGGGACCCTGGGGAAAATGGGTCTGGAAATACTTGGGGACATGGGGACACAGGGGACAGCAGGGGTGGGGGGTAGAGGGTCACAGGGGACAGGGGACATGGGGACCCTGTGGGTGCCCACGACTCATCAGCGTCACCAAGTCCGTCCGCATGTCCCCATGGGTCCCCATGTCCATCGGTGAACCCTGGTGTGTCCCCAGTGTCACCGTGTCCATCCGCAGGAGAGGTTGAGTGGCCATCCACGTGTCTCCAGGTGTCCTCGGTGTCCCCAAAGGTGTCTGTGTGTCCCCACGGGTCCTTGAGATCCTTGTGTCGGTCCAGAGGTCTCTGCAGGTCACCATTCTCCCCAAGGGCGTCACCACTGTCCCCATGTCTGTCCGCCTGTCCCCACAGGTCCTCGGCATCCTCGTGTCCCCATGGGTCCTTGCTGTCCCTGTCTGCGTGTAACTGCGGATCCCCCATGTCCCCAAGAGCACCTGTGAGTCCGTGGGCGTTCCCACCATCCCTCCGTGGGTCCCCATCTGGATATCCTCAAGGGATCCCTGATGTCTCCAGCATGCCCCTACATCTGTCCCCGCAAGTCCCTAACGATCCTGGTGTCCCCAACTGGGTCCTCTGTGTCCCCACAGGTGCTCAATGATCCTCCGTGTCCCCAACGATCCCCAGCAGACTCAGTGTCCCCCTCCACATCCTCAATGTCCCCTTCCACATGTCCCTGACATCCCACCATGTGTCCCCAGCACCCCGTCGCATGTCCTCAGCACCCCGTCATGTGTCCCCAGCACCCCATGGGGCCGTACCTGCAGGTCCTTGGCATTGGCGTGTCCAGGTGTGTCCTCGCCATCCCCCGGCATGTCCCCGATGTCCCCCGGTGTGTCCCCGGCATGTCCCCGCAGGAGGGCGATAGCATCAGCAGCGTAGAGGGCGAAGGCCGGGGGGGGCTCGTAGGGGGATGCAGGGCCCCGGGCCACCGCCGAGAGCAGCAGGGCCACTGCCCCCCCTCCCCACAGCAGCCCCCGCGCTGGGGACGCTGGCCTGCACATGCCAAGGATATGTGTCATGCCAGCGTCACGGCAAAGGGATGCCAAGGGTCACGCCGACGCCACACCAGTGTCAAGGGTCGTACCAACAACGTGGGTCATGCCAACGTGACAATAGTGACTTGAGTCACGCCAACGATGTGGGTCGTCACACCAACGTGACGCCGCCAACGTGGGTCACACCAATGACGTGGGTCGCACCAACATGACACCACCACCACGGGTCCTGGCAATGATGTGGGTCACGGCAACGTGACGCCAATGCTGTAGGTGATGCCAACATGATGCCAACATCATGCCAACATCACAGGTCACGCCAACGCTGTCGGTCATGGCAACATGACTCCAATGTTGTAGGTGATGCCAACGTCATGGGTCACGCCAGCGTGATGCCAATGATGTCACGCCAGCCCGTGGGGGATGCTATAGGGTCTAGGGCCACCCCCCACCCCGGGGGACACTGGGCTGCACATGCCAATGACACATCAATGACATGCCAATGACATGGGGGGCCACCCAGGGGGAACGTATAGGAAATCTATAGGCAGATCTATAGAGGAACTATAGGGCTACAAGTAGGAAATCTATATGAGACCTATGGGGCTGCCTATGAGGCATCCATAGGGGACTAACAAGGCTGCTTATGGGGCAGCTATAGGGAACCTACGGGGCTGCCTGTGGGAGTTCTGCAAGAGGCCCTATAGGTGATCTATAGACTTGGACACTGGGGATCTATAGAGGATTTACAGGGGCTCTATAGGGCCAGCAAGAGGAGGTCTATAGGAAATTACTGCACTCACTATGAGGCACTTAGAGGCAACCTACAGAATATCTATAGGGTTTGTTATGGGGAATCTATAGGAAATACTTATGAAATTGGCTATAGCGGATCTACAGGGCCACCTACAGGGAATATATAGTGGATGCACTGCCTTGGCTACAGAAATCTATACTGAGCACCTATGCGGGATCTACAGGCTGTTTCTGGGACCCCATATGGATCCTATGGGGCTCTATAGAGGCTCTATAAGCACCGGAGACAAGTGAACAAGCAGGAATCCGCGAGGGAACCCCCCAGGCGCGTTATGGGGCTGGTTCTGGAGGGCCACAGGGGCTATAGGGGAGGTGCAGGGGCTCTCTAGGGGACATATAAGGCTCTACAAATGATGTATTGGGCTCTATAGAGGACTTACGGGCCTGGGTGCAGGGGAACGCATGAGGGATCTCCCGGGTGCGTTATGGGGCTGGTTCTGGGGGGCCACAGGGACACCGTATGTCGGGGACATATAGAGCTCTATAGGGGACATAGGGGCTCAGCTGCAGGGGAATGTGTGAGGGACCCCCCAGGTGAGTTACGGGCCAGTTCTGGGGGGCCCCGGGGGCTACAGGGATGCCGTAGCAGGGAACCTACAGGGGCTCTATAGGGTCAGTACCTGGTGAGCAGGGGCAGGGCGGTGGCGCAGGCCAGGCGGGCCGGGGGGGCCCCGCAGCGCAGCATGTGGGTCAGCAGCCCCACGCCAAAGGGAGCTGCTGCC